ATATATATATATATAAAATCGAGAACTATAGTAAAAGCGAAAATGTGTTTTGATCTATTGGTCACTTCCTTGGAACAATTCAATCGAAAATAAATACACAAACATCCTCGCAGTTTTCTATATTAAAAAAAAATAAGAAAAAAAAATCCTAAAAGAATATCGAACTGAAGAGGAAAAAAAAAAAAAAAACATACAGAGAAAAAAAAGAGCAAATCCTGTGATCCCACATTAAGTACATGTTTAATAACACCATTAGCCATCCATCAGCCATAGTTTGGTCATTATTTCAAGTTTGACCAAGTGTGCAATAATAAAACTATTGATTAAGGACAAAATGATTGATGGGAAATCGTGCTCTCATGAGAAACATGGTTGACCGAAAAACCTCTGGCTTTAACCCCCCAATCTGTATTGGAATTTTTACACGCAGACTTTGCAGGCTACTTTAGTAGTTATTGGTTTTTTCAAGTACTTCTAGATCAATATTCGGACGCCTTCGACTCAAAGTGGGTGACTGCAACCGAAGTAAAAAAATTGTTTCTGGTCTGCTAATTGAAATTGTTATAAAAATCGCTCTCTGTATTCGTTAGATTTTATTTTTCTTCTTCTCTTTTTTTAATTTCGGTAACTACGTTAATATTTTAAATCAAATATTGCATGATTGTTTATTATATATTATTGGAATAAATAAATGAAATTTGGTCGTGACATTCGTCTTCCATTATTCATTTTTGAATGGAATTTATAAATATAAGAAAAAGCAAAAAAAGTTTAATACTTGAAACTTTCTCACACCATCTTTTATTTTTGGCTAAATTTGAATAAAAATTGCCTTTTACGTATAAATAAAATGCTTAATTAATTTTAAATGCGATAGTTTATTGTCTGGCAGCGACGGATTATAGATTATTTTCTTTGGTAGTTTTGTATTTGTATTAAACGTATGTGGAAATAAACAAAACAAGCAAGGTGAGTTAAACTGGAAACATTAAAACAAATTTGATCGAAGAGGAATAAGATAATGATAGTTGTATCGCATTTAGCTAGGGAGGATGGGGGAAGGGGACATTTACATTCTAGAGATAAGGTGCGGAGGTAACCAGGAAGTGAGCGTCGCTAAGCCTAATTGGATATGTTGTTATTAAATCGCCATTCTCTGCAGAACTCATTACCTCATCATTTATCTGAAGGATTCCTGGAAAAGCACGCTAATTGGTTTTACAGGGGTTCTGCAATTATGATCACATAGAATTATCTAGAACATTGTCCTTTGCTCACTTTACTTAATAGATTGTCATGGACTGAGAAAACAGACAACAATTTCGTATAAGATAAACGAAGCCAAATCCCCAGCGGTTTCCTTAGTTTTGCCAAATAATGTACCAATGGGTATGCCAGAACGTAGGACAATCATTTGTCTTACTGTCTGAGTCCGCTAGATACATAACGTCATTTTATCTCTGTGAGATAGTAACTGGTTAAAATTAAATTTTCTATTCTACTATCATTAAGTAGCATCCAAAACTCTGCGTTGATGGCTTTTCGTGGTTCATCAACTACCAGACTGAATACAATTACTAGAAAATGGATGTAAAGTGAGAGTAAACACAACACCGTTAGAAACAAACCAGCTGTGATTTTGTAACGTTTGCGTATCACGCTATCCTTTGCGTTACGTTACGTTTTCATACGACAGCTGTCGGTATTGTTTGTATTCCGTGCCATTAATCATGACGTGTAATATCCAGGAGACTGTCCCGCTCTTGACAGACGATAATTTCATTGCCTCTTAGAAAAATGGCGATGTATAAACTATAGGGGCGATTTTAATTTAAGTGAGGGGCAAAAAACTCGACAAAATTTTTATTCTCGATTTTTCATAGCGAAATCCTGATAAATTATTTAAAATTTATCAAGCGTTTCCCACCTTAAGTTCGCCTTTTGTGTAATTGAAGTGAATTTCAATATGGCGGTTTCCGTTCCATTAGTAACGTTGTTTTTCACATCATTGTATTAAAACTAATGCCATGTAGGCGACGTGTCGACTCAAATCAAAATGATACGTGAGATTCCACCCCCTTTCTACTAAACGTCAAGTGATTTTCACTGTCTTTCTCCCATTTGTTATAACTAATTATTTAACTTTAATTGTAACATATCAATTTTGGATTTTCATTTTCGCACTTCTACAAATGCATTAAATCTGATCGAATACGTGATTATTATTATATTAATTTACTTATAACAAAAAAGTAAACCCGTAGATAAGATTAGGCCCGAGGAAAAGAAAAACTAACTGTTGAAGTTAGATTTATTTAAATTGATAAATTGAACCGTCTTCATTTACTTAATCTAATTTTAATTTTCATTAAAATCTTACTAACCTTTTTAAAATTAAATAAAACACTAAATACACATCGGTAAGGAGCAAATTTTTTGACAAGTTTATGTATAAATCGAATTAAAGTACTTACTCTACAATGTTTAAACTTTGGAGCAGACAAGAAGACGTTGCAACGTAGTGAATTTAAAAAAAAAAATAAATATATATAAAAGAAAAGAGCCCAGGGAAGACAGCCTTATCGGAATAAATTTCAGTCAATCAAGCAGAATCAACGAACGTCTTCGGAGGTAGTTAGGCAGCAGAACATTTCATTAGAGTTGGAGATCTCCGTTTTCCGTACAATATTGGGCTAAACACGATCAATACGAATGGACTACGGTCACGAACCAACATCCGAAATTGTATGGCTTGGGAATAGCAACAACTGCTTCGTAACACGTCAATTGTATTGAAAGAGGAAAGCGGTAGATTGGTCAGCTAGCCAGCACAATGAACGATCAACGCCACCTTGTCTCATTGATATGATTATTTACTCTGTAAAGGTGATGATAAAAGGTCTGTACATTAGCCGATAAATATCCGACACAAACGTTTACCTTAGACGTTTAGTAAAAGATCGCGCGTATCTACAAATCTAAGCTTTATCTTCGGTTGAACTCGATAATACTTGCGAAGCGATTTATTTTATTCGTTACTTCTGAAGCGAAAATTTATGTCAAAGTGCACGATTTTTGTCTCGCACGCCGGTTAAATTGTGCGTTGTTAAAGATAATTTATATGGTTATCTCTTATGATAGTTTTAAAAGTTAAAATTACGACAGTGTAAGATTATCTTGGCAGTCCTGGTTATCTTCGTAACGAGTTGTATGTTTACTCCAAATAAATGTCATTTAACACGAGAGAATAGTAACTTCGGACAATGTAAATGCTACAATTCATACCGACGTAATTATAGTTTTAAAACTGGAAAATTGTATATTTGAATTTCCATATCTAATTTGAAGTATTTCAGCAATAGAAATGTGGAATTTATCTGGGAGAAATAAAGCTTCGAAGGGAGAAATCTTTGCGTTAAATTCAAAAACGGGACCGAATTTTGTACGTGACGTTACGTAAGTAATAAAATTGTTGCTCGGCAATAAAATGCTTATAAAAAGTTAAGCGTTATGAGCTGCTTCTTGACTAACACGTTATAAAAGAAAGGGTAGAAGCCAGTAGCAAAATCCAAACGCTTACTTTATTACTATTTTATACTTTATTTGTCCAACATTCTATTGTTGTTATTATTAAAAGAAAATTAGGGAAACGTTAATTAAAACTCGGCTTTTATTTATTACAGATTTCAACTATTCCTTAATTCCCAATAAAATTAATTAGGCTACTCGAGATCAACCGGCAGCGGGAGTTTCCCCAATAGAAACACCCACATAATAAGACGAACTACAAATTTATAATTAGAATATCAGTCTAGAGTTTTTTTTTCTAATCCTCTCTCTAATGAATTTAGTAAGATTAGATGTGATTAATTAAATTTTCAATCTTTTCCTAAAACAATTGTGTTTATTTTATAATTTCTAATATAACTTGTTTAAAATTGTTTTCTCTCTCTAACTATCGTCTTAGATTATTAATAGGGGGACGGCAAAAATCCGTTTTACATTGAAATATCACCTGCCAAAATTAAATTAATATATTGCCTAGTGGTTTAGTTATTAAGTTTTCAAAATAAGTTTAATGTGATGTATATGATAAATGTCTTCATTAAAAAAGAAAATAATAAAATTAATTAATATTTATTTAAAAATTTCATCTATATCTTTTTAATTTATTTTAATGGATCAAATTTCGCTTTTATAGCCTTATTCTACGTATCGTCTTTCTATAAAGAAACATATTAAATATAATTATATAACGTTTTAAATTTGAAATTCTAGAAAATCAATTTGTCTAGAATATAATAATTGTCAATTTTAAACTTTGTATTATTCCAGAATAAATATGGAAATTGCTTACTTTTTATTTATATAAATTTTACGTTAATTACGTAGAAGAATCTTGGTTTTTTTTATTTTTTTTAATTGCAAAACTTAATGAAACCGAGAATTGTATTTGCGCTCAATGCAAACTGAATAGACTTTATTCTAGTGGTTAAAATCTTCCAATAATCCAAATTAATTGAAGGTTATTAGTACAATTCCAAAATTGAGATTAGTTTTCTCGTAATTACGCCATTTCGCCATTACGATCTATTTGCTTAAGGAACATTCGCGTAAATTACAAATTTATTAAAATTCCTATCATCCTATTGGTTAAAATCCCTATATTTCTCAGATTAAAAATAAAAATTGTTCTCCATTCTTGACGTATTTAATTAGCTTTCTAATTAAAATTAACATCTTAGTCTAACGCCAGTTCGACGTACAAGTCAAACAAGTCTGAAGTGATCACATTCTCTACTAATGAATAGCGTCTGTGAAGGAATAGTTTGTTTATCTTCGCCCACTCTAGTCTAACTTGAATTTCGTTATCAGTGATACTCGTCTATGATGTAAACCAGTCCCCTACACATTCACCATTCGAGTAATTAGGCTGAAAAACCTACACAAACAATATTAAATCGCACTTTTTCCCTCCCCTTCTTCTACAACGACAATTATTAGGATCGATTGAAATAAAGCTTTATTACTATAATTAAACAGACAATCACACCATTTTAAGTACATTCCCTTTACTACATCAGTCAGATTTGATTAGTTCTTAGGGTGAGGCTCGCCTTTTGGTGGACAGAATGTTCGACAGGGCAATTTCGCGTCTAAGTAATATATTCAAGAATGAAATTCGCGAAATGGACCTGCTTTTGGGCAAAAAAATCCTTGTACGGTTTCACCGGTTTGTTTTTTTTTAATAAGTACCTCATCGCATGTGAGCATATTTCTATACTACAATCTCGTATGTAGTGATAAAATAAAAAAGAAAGAACCTCTTCGAGTTGTTTCTAATGACCACCAGAAGGCGAAATCACATAAAGAACCAATAAGATTGTAAAGGTACAGTTTTAGCCACAAAACATGGCCACCGTACATGGCTAGTTGAAGACGGTGCAATGTGTATTTGTTATGTGTATTTGTGTGTGGTTTTTTTCTCTTTTCTCCTTGTGGTGATGGCACAAAATTTGTCGCGTTTCAAAAAAAGAAGAGGATCACTTACGGTATCTTAACGTAAAAGTGTAGTACAACATAAACTCGTAATTACTGTCCCTAGTCCGGGGATGTAAAGAGAGGAACAGTTATTGCTTTTTTTTCCTAAGTATTGTTAGGTAGTACAAGAGAACCGCAAAGAACGTCCTTAACAGAAGTTCGTCAACTATGACCTTATCCCATAACAGGTCAAAAACATGGACAGACTGTGGATTTTCAACTTTTTTTTTTAAATATCGACGTTGATGGTTCGGATGCGGTTATTGAAATTATGAATTGTTCAATTGTCTTTGATCAGTTTGTTTAGTTCAACAATGCATTCATGCATAGCATACACATTCGTCACAAGTCCTGAATTACTTCCAATATATTTTTAGAGGATTGCTACGGGAGAAAAATTATATAAACGGAAATAGCAGGCCCAAAGAAGGAAGGTCGAGGCGAAGCAGTTCAGACTTTGATGGCTGAGTTGAGTCGCATTTTGCCGTTTTTCCTAACTCCTGCAGGACTTACCGTCCCTTTCAACATCTTCATACAGTCCTGTTCGCAAAGGACGTTGCCGTTAACCAAATTGTACCGGTCACCTGGTACCAACTGATTGTGACACTTGACACATGCGAAGCATTTCAGGTGATAAACGTTGTTCTGAGCTCTCATGACAAATTCGCTGGCTGGGATCATTTGTCCACAAGCACTGCAGGAGCCGCTAGTGCCGAATAACCTGAAAGAAAGAATATGCTTTTTTAAAACTCATTCATACCCAAAAAAAGACTAACAAACATGTGTTTAACGTATGCGAATGATCAATATTTTAATAGAGAAATGGATTTTTTTATTAATTAAATACAATAAAAGCCCGGAGAAAATTCAATATACTTAAACGAGTTAGACACGAACGGGTACACTGTAAACCTTTTAAAAGCATTAACAATTTAACAAGCCGAGCATCACCGGTCTCCGAACGATATACATAATATTGACTCAAAGCAAGAGAGGGTAACAAGAAACAATGTTCTCAGTTTATTAACGCAAAAACCTTTTAACGTCAACGAAACGGTTCCATCTCCAAATGGGTCGATGGCTTGAATCGGTCGCCATAATCAAAATTGCGATTTGAGAAATTGCGTGCAGCTTTATTCCGGAGAGACTACCAAACAGTATTATCAAGATTAAATCTTGTCTTCACGCTATTCTCCCATCCAGTCAATTAGTTAATTATGTCAATTCGACAAACAAACTCGCAAGAATCTAGCAAAAAAATCCCGAAACGCTCCATCCTAATCCGCCATTTTTTTTCTTGTTTTTCAAAAAATAAAACTCCAGCGCTCTAAACAACTAGATTCCTATCGCAGATGGCTTTCTAGATATGCATCGTGTATACAATACATACACACACACACATATATATAAAGCTATCGTTTGTACAAGGGCTGGCATAAAAACTACTAGTACTTGAGCAGGATTAACTAATAAGCGTCGAGAAATTAATGGCCGAAACGAACACCAAATCACAGCTTAAGGAATGGCACAAGAACTGTAATTAAAGCCGTTCTTCAAAATGTTTATCATTAAAAACAAAGGGGGAAATGAACTATTATATATGTAAATAAACATTATGTAGTCTACATACATACAAAGCTTAGAATAAGTAAACACATCTCCAGTGCAAGCTCATACAAGGTTCGACGAAGAAAAACTAACGCTGTAATTAAGAGAGGAATTTCGCATTGTCTGTTCTATTTATTACATACAACAATAATTAGCCTAATTGTCACCTAACCTTCGGCAACTTCCTTCTACGATGCTAATTAAGCAAGAAAATGAGTATTGTAGAATGGGATAAACTTTGTTGATTTTAATTTAAGAAATAAATCTTTGAAGTTAGATTTATACTCTTTTTTCCCCCTGTTCTCTTATTAACAATATTCGTTGGCAGAAATTAATTACAATCGGGATATAGCGAGAAGAGAGGAGAGGAAATAAAAAAAATTGAGATTTAAAAACACAACTGTTTAATTAATTTAACATAGTTTATTATCTTTGGTGATGTGTCGATATTTGCAGGCGCGTGTGCACAGTTATGGGGGTTAAGGATCCGTTTAAGGACGAAGCCTGCCCTAATTACTGTGGCGAGAGTCGAGAAGGTGAGGATAGCGGGCATTTGGAGCCGGGTGAAGTTGTACGATGTGAGAACGCGTGTGAACATACATACCATACGTGCGTGGTGCCATCTATCGCGTGAAACACAAAGCGAGCGATTAAGGGGGGAAGAAGTTTGCAACTATCCAAGGTCACGATGAGGCGAGAAGAAAAATTTCGATAATCATTCTCGAATTTCTTTGGCGGCGGTTCTTATACCGCACGCGTTTCGATATTACCATTTTTTCGGTAACTCGGTTTAAAAGATAGGAAGGTAAAAAAAAGTAACAATACAAATAGCAAAGCCGGCATACAAATAAGACAAAACAATCCCCAGAGGTGGTGCCGGCGGGGAGGGAAAATACGAAAATGTCGGCTTGGGCGGGAAAATGAAAATGAATTTGTTTTAATAAAACGTCAGCAAAAGGTGGTGGAGTAGTAACCGGCGTTGGAATTCCCATATGGCAGAAAAGATTCCCCAAGGGATACTCAGAACTATAGGAACAAGATCAAACACACAGTGTCTTTAAGTGACTGGGCAGGCAATTTAATTTCCTAAACTCCTGCCAACTAGATTACCTGACACTATGCTATAGTAAGGAGTACGGGGGATAGAGAACTGAAAGATGGTGGACCATAGACTCACAAATGTCACCGTTAAAACGATCATCCAAACTTCCATGCACATTCTATAATCAATTCATCCGAATTCGTTAAGGACTGAAACGAAAAAACGGTCAGACATCATCGGAAAATCGGTCTGACTGAACGCTGCATTCTGCAGATCGGGTCACTCAAAAATTGGCGAAATTGGAAAGAGGGAACCCGATTTTTTTTCCTTTTTTTTATCCTCCCTTCTTTGTTAGAAGGTCAAACGTTTGATGGTGATTGGCTATTGTTTGCCTTTTCTATCGGTTTTCGAGATAGGTGATGAAGAGGTGGACGAATCAAACAAATGGACGGTCTCCATTCCTATTTGTTTTTGTGAGGCTCTTTTATAAAATCTCGTTTTCCAACTCGAAAATTCCTTCATTAGAATTAAACCGCAACACTTCTGTACTGTTTTCAACACGGTAAATACGCCGATTTAAATAAAATCATCAGCGCGCGACGGATTTTGTCCTCCGAGAAACGATATCAAAGCCTAAAACCTTTAAGAAACAAGAAAATAAAACAAAAAACACGGAAGAGGGGAAAACCGAATCAACTTCAAGCCGTTTATAATCCCTCCCGGTGGTAGACAATCTGTAGGAATTCAGGACTAGACACACACCATTCCCGATAATAGACCAACCTGTTCGATCAAAAAAAAAGAAAAAAAATTAAAAGAAAGAAAAGGAAGAAAGAAAGGAAAGAAGGAAGGAAGGGAGAAAAAGAAGAAAAAAATTTTCTGTGGACGAAAAGAAATAACGCCTGGTAATATTTAAAACCATGCCAACATCTGTTACACAGGAGAACGGGGGAAAGGAAGAGAATTAATATTTGGTGGTTCCTTATGTACACGAAATTGCAATTTGGAGGCTAATTACTTCTGCGTGGCCGTCCTGTATGTAATCCTACAAGGCTCTATTTTATTAGCTTTCAATTTGTTACAGGAGACGGAGAGTTGCGCTGAATGCTTTCATTTCGCCACTTATACAAGCTAGGAGATTTAATGACATTCGGTCTAGCAGCCGCTTCGGCTTGTCCGGAGTTGGAGCTCTGAAAGGGAGGGAGGGAAGGAAATGGTGGAGCGATGTTTAATTTCGTTGCTATGATTGAAAGCAAGGTGCTGTATTGTACAACACCGACTAATAAACCATGTATGTCAATTTTCGCTACGGGAGGCGTGGCATTTGAAGGGTGCAGAATCTCCTGCTTCTATTAAATTCTCTCCTCCACCTCTCTTTGTAATTTTCGCTTTTCTTTAGCATCGAGAATAGCCGAAATTTGCAGAAAATTCTCTAATAAAATTGCGATTTTTGTTTCCGAGATTTTGACACCGCGGGTATCGCTAGCCTTTTTTTAATTAAGACGTCCCGGATGGGGATCGATGCATCAATCGCTCCGTAAGCCAAACCGCGACTTTTCTTTTTTAATATTTTTAACTGAGAGTGTTGTATTTGTTTCAGTTTTATTGACACCGTAGCGCACCAATTTGGTTAAAAGCCTGTTGGTAAAACAAACAATGCGAAGACCGAGCAGTAAAAAAAATACGGGATAAACAAGACTTAATTCTAATTTGTAACTCGTCATATTAACAATAAAATGTAATTTGGCGCAGCCACTTTGGTAAATTTAACACCGGGAGGCTGTCTCCAATTTCGTTAAAAGCGGAACCGAGCCCCGATGACCAGAAACAACTAATCAATAACTTATATAAAAATTTCGACCGGGCCGTGCCGCCGGCCTTAAAACGGGCCGGCAGAAACAATTTAATTAAATCATATTAATCAATTAAGAACGAATGCGGGCTGGCTTAATTCCTTCTATCACTAGCAGGTGGCGCAGCGATATTTATTAACGTCCGGAACGGCGCTCTCCCATTGGACGCCCATTATGACATCATCGGAATTCAAAATCTGTCCGTCGAAACATCTTCCCGAGATATAGTAAGATATCAAAAAACAGAAAAAGACCTTAATCCTATGATAACGGTCTTATGGAGAATGACTATCGAATACGAAGGGGATGGGAAGGCACAAAAGAGCTGTTGATATTGATCAGTAACCCCTCGATATCGTTGCTATGGTAACTGTAGCGTCTATATTCCCGTCTGTGTTTATGGACCGGTGAATAAATGCACGACAACCAGAAGGTTTGATAAAGCTTTGTTGCTTGTTAGGAAGGTACATACAACGTCCGCCATTATTCACTATTATCCTCTGTTCATGCATACAACACTTTTCCATCAGTCGGAAAGAGAACAGTTTCACCATGACAGACTACATGTAGAAAGGCGTCGTTTAGCAAACCCATAAAATCTCATTACCAATTTTCCTCTCGCAGGCGCTTGGTGGCGCAGGTGTGCAGGATCCCACGCCGATCCTTCTCAGCTAAAAGTAAGATCCAATTTCACGTGAAATACCCAACTGAAAGGGGTGGAATGGATGGAAAAAAAGGGGTAACGCTAAAAAAAGCTATGTTTTTTTTACTCTTACTCTCCTTCCTTCCGCTTCTACGGATGTGTCGCAGCGAATTTTGGCTTAGGGGATTTTTGACATTTTGCGTTTAAATTCCTCGCTTGTTTTATTCCCCCACCCTTCTTTCTATACTTCTTCTTCTATCCGCCACCCTCCTCCCTCCTCTTCTTCCCGTTACGCGATAACAAGTGAGAAAACCGGTGTAAGGTTCTGCCTATTAGAATGGTGTTAGCAGCGAACACTTCCGATGGCCGAGTCATTCGAATTTTCAGTTTGTTAGGCGCCAAATCTGACTCGGCTAAGTGATAGCCCTTGAGGAAAGACGTTTCCTTAACCCGATTGGATCATTCTTAAAACAAAATCTTTCGATATTTCTCCTCGTTTGCTAAGTCCATCTTAAGCCATTTCTTACGAATGTATTAAGCGGTGGCATAAAAAATCGCGCGACTCGCTTTCTACC